CCTGCCTTCGGGATCAGGAGCGGGACCCTCACGTTGTGGCCCCCAAACTTCCCAGCGTCTGGAGACGACGGTCGCCCCTGGGGTTTTGCTGGTGCAGTGGCTCCCCGGCCGCTGGCTGTGGGGTGTCTCTCTTCCCAGATGCCCTTGCTCCGGGCGGTGCTGGTGGGGTGACCAGGCATCCCGATATTAAAGGCTCTGTCTTATATATGCAACTGTGCCACCACCACCCCGCGGAAAAAGGTGTCCTGATTTTTCACACTTGCTATCTAGTCACCCCACGTGCTGCGGGCAGGGGTGGGGGTTACGGTATTACCCTGCAGTGGAGGGGGGGCTGCCTCCCCTCCGCTCTCTCTGCTGCGAGCTGCTGCTTTCCTTTAATATGATTACAGATGCTTTTACAGAACTGGTCCCAGCGCCCTGCTGAGTTAATCTCACGGTTCTGCTTTAACCCTCCCCTTGCCGGCTGGCTTTGCTCCAGGAGGGAGCAGGGTGGAGGGCTCGGCAGGGGGCGCTGTCCCCTCCCAGTCAGCGCTGGACCCAAAGCCCGAACGTGGCTCTAGGGGGCGCTGGGCTGCAGGGAGCGGGGTGGGGCGTTCACTAGGGGGCGCTCTCTGTCAGTGGTTTTTGCTGGATCCTCCTTCCCCCACCAGCTTGTGTCTAACCGGGCCAGGCCAACTCTGGAGCCTTTCCCCATTAGGTGACCAGGACTGCTCCGGCCCCAGGCTGGGGGGACTGGCTGGCTCAGGGGGGCTGGGAATGGAACATGGGGCCTTTCCCCTCCAGGGGGCTCCGGCTCTCATCCGGCCCCAGGGCAGGGGACTTGGGGCCTCGGGAAATGGGACACGGGACCGTTGCCCCCAGTTCAATTCCAACCCTGGCTGTTTGGTGAGTCTCAGGTCAGTAGCCAGGGACAGGTGCTTGGCTGGCAGCCACCGCAGAGAGGCCACTCCTGAGCTGGCTACAAACCGAGCTGTCCTTGGGGCCCCTCCAGGGCAGGGCTGTGGCAATAGGTAGGGAAACTGGCCCTGTGCTCTGCAGGCCTGGCTCTCCCGGGTGTCAGGTGTGCACCTCCCACTGGATCAAATTCACACTAAATGAAGGGGAGCCAGGACTCCTGGGTTCCCATTCCTGGCTGTGGGAGGGGTGTGTTATCTAATGGTTATAGCTAATGGGACTAGGCATCAGGACTCCTGGGTTCTAATCTGGGCTCTGACGTACCCGGTGACCATGGGCAAGTCACAGACACACCCTGTGCTTCAGTTTCCCCTCTGTATGATGGGATAAGGCTCTCTCTCTCTCTCTCTCTCTCTCTCTCTCTCTCTCTCTCTCTC